AACTGCTCTGCACTGGCAAATGACAAAGAATGACGGTACTCACACGAGTTCCTGATCTTTGTCGAACGTCAAAATCTGAAAGTGCAAATGGAAAAGTATTAGTGTCAATGCTGACTCAGCAATCAAATGAATGTATTCCTGTTTTTTATACATTTTATAGCAATCTAAGTGCATTCAATGTTCCATTTATTCAAGAGAATGAGCTGATTTTTACAATGTTACTCATCAGGTCTCTCCATCACAAAGACATTACATCAAAGTCTGTTAATTAATTTTTTTATTTCACCTTTATTTAATCAGCTATAAACACTAAAACAAATTCTTATAGTGCTGGCCTGCACTTGTGGTCAAGGGAAGGGAAACAACACAGTTGGGCAAAACAAAATATAGTACAGCATATATTGTAGTATTGTATCTGCTGTTCAATAATACTTTGTTTGAAACGGTAATATTGTGTTTGCTGTTCAGTGTCAGGAGGGTGATCAGTCTTACATTGGGGAAACTAAACAGCCACTGGTCAAAAGGATGGCCCAGCACAGAAGATCAACATCATCAGGCCAGGACTCTGAGGTCTACACTCATCTCCAGGTCAGAGGTCACTCGTTCAGGGATGAAGACGTTCACATCCTTGATAAGAGAAGAACGATGGTTTGAGGGAGGAGTAAAGGAGGCCATCTTTGTGAAGAGTCTGACATCCACCATTAAACAGGGGCGGAGGCCTCCGGGTTCAACTGTTCCTCTTACAATGCTGTTATTGTTAGAATCACTCATCCCCTGTGAATAGCAAGTGGCCAACAGGGCACTAACAATCGGTCATTAGACTGGTGGTCCTCCTTGATCATGTGAACAGCTAGTTCTGGATGTCAACAACAAACTGGTTGATCCACTATGAGAAGGTGCTGTAATATATTTGTGGGTCACACAGGCAGAAAATCTTGTCTAGAATGTCAGAACCATAAAACAATCACACACACCAGAAGGTTATGAAAATAGTATTTTTATGCATTTCATATATATATATACAAAAAACAAGCTAAAAGAATAAAGATTAAATGAGTTTACTTAGCTCACCCAGTGGCCAAGACCATAGAGTCTAAACCTGTGATGTCATCCAACACCCCGGGGATTAATTTATCTGGATGACTGGACCTCCTGGATTGTCTCCACACCAGATCAGAGCAGGCAGCAGGAACAGAAGCCCAAGGTGGTGACTGCACCCAGCCCGGTCCCCCCCGACACAGGAACACCTAACCACCTGTCTTCACCTCCAGCAGCCCTGAACGACTGAACGAAGGATGCTGCCTCTGCCCTCAGGTTGTCTGAGATGTTTGTTCAGGGTGCTGCTCCTCTGATTGCTCACAGCTGTCCCTGACGAGTCTCCTCCTCCTCTTTGACCCAAACACATCACGGCTCTATTTATAAGACTGAGTTTGTTGCAGCGCCTCAGGCTGACCAAGTCTTTTGGATTAAAAAAACAAAATAGTTCAACAATTTTTATTTTTTAATCCGTCCAGAATACATGACTTCACTTTTTTAGATTTCCACCTGGATTATTGAGCATGCATGAGGAGGTCTTTAAAAAAAACTTTCGCCTAAATGCAATCATCTGGTGTAACAATTTTAATTTTCTGATCATTTACACCATGAAGCTTGGTTGTCAATTTATTTCAGGCTGTAAAATCTACTTTGAATTTAGATAAAGTTCATAATTCAACAGCGCCACCTTCAGTCCATGTACACAACTCAGTCTGTTGAATTTCATTTTAATAAAACCATTTCTCACGTGTAAATTAATTGCACGGTGTAGAAGGCATATAAACATTTTAATGACGTCACAACTAAAACGCTACAGTATGAAATCATGCGCCTGTCATTCTGATTTAACAGAAATAAACGTATTTCAATAAAAGCCACACAACGCAGATTACATGAGACTTTTTATTGTTTATAAGCGATTCCTGCACACGTACACCAAAAAATAAAATCATCTTTGTGGAGATTGGAAGCTAAACTCATACTCCACTTTCTATAAATTTAAGTCACACTAGTTTTTGTTAAAACAGAATTCCTTTAGTTAAAATCACTAAAAAGAAACAAAAAACTCCCAAGAGGCAAGTCGTGTGCATAGCTTATAACAACCTCCTGACAAAAAAAAAACTACAATATTTAAATACATGCTTTAAATGAAGGTAAAAGGCTGCGGCGATGTAAACCCAAATTCAGACGAAACTTTCAGTGGTTCATCCCATACGTGAGAGTACGCGCGATTAATTAAAGTATAGCTGCAACAAAAACGTAAATACAAGTGATATAAGTTGCACAAAGAGATGTGGAGCAACGAGGCGGAAACTGCTCTGATCGTGCAACAGTTTTTATACTTCACTAAAGATTAAAATCTGAATCTTCCAATTTGTCACATTGGTTTAACCTAAAGAAAAATAAAAACTAACGCTGGTTTCAGATCGACGTGGAAGTTCTATTTTGTTGCGGACAAATCCAACTTCCCAGCGCTGGGGATCTTCAAAACATCGATTATATTTAAATAAAACCTCTAAAAGTAAAATGTGATGAGGAAAAAGTGGCAGAAAACCTTCACGTGAAGGACATTCCTGCGTACACAGAACGACGGTTTTGAAAATTTTAGCAAACCGACTAAAACTTTTTGGGAAACATTACACGACCTGCAAACTTCCATTCTGAAAAGTTACAATTTTAACGCTTCCTACAAAATAAAATCCATATTTTTTGCTCTTTTCAGGTAGAAACCGTGCTTGTAAAACACACCACAGAGAAAAAACCAGCCAGCTGGTTCCCAGTTCTGCCATTTCATTCAGAAACACAAATTCCTCCCGTTTCATTAGAGTTTGTTCATCGCTGTAAACACAAGAATGTGCATGAAGTCGCTCCGCCAGGGGGCAACAAAGACGAACTGCTTTCTGCAGCTGGACACAATCAAAACAAACAAAAGCAGAATCATTTGTCCTTTCAGAAGTGTCTGCATGGAGAGCAGAAAGAAGAGACCGTTCCTCCGCAGCAGCTCAGTATTTATACAAGTTCTGTTGGTGTCGCAGGTCGGCCGGACAAAACTAAAACGTTTCTCTCTTCACCATCACAAGCACGCTCACCGGTGTTCACGGTGCTTTAGGGTCATTCAAGAGAAACTTTACAGGCACAGAGTGGTTCTGGGAACTCTCCCTGATCTACAGGGAACAAAACAAAACGTTTCTAACTTTTCAATGTCGACGTGGCACAAACGCGTAAACTTGCGCAGAACGTTATCCTGATTCAGACGAAAAAATAAAAAAAGTTTTATAAAAAAAGGTGGAACTCGAGTCGGTCATGATTTAAAAAAAAAAAATAAAAATCCAAACCAGCAGGATTATTAGTCATGACTCTGAAGAAGCACAGATGGGATTTCAGTTTAATGTTAGGAAAAAAAAAAAAAAGGTTCTCTTCAACGTGTTTGATGATCAATAAGAAAAACAAAAACGGATCAAGCTCATGTTAAATGTGTTTTAACAAAAATACAAATTTAGCCCTTCGTCATCCATCTATCCCCTTAACATCATAACACAAACACGACTTTTCATCCGTTGCAGCTGAATTTCATTCCTTTGTTCCTATTTATGACCTTTTCCACAGGAAACGTCTTGAGCTCGATCCTTTGAGCCTGAGCATACGATGGTGTTGGGGGTCAGTGTTAATAAAACGAGCTATTTAAGGCTAAACTTTGTCCAAAAAAAAAACCAACTCAAATTCTGTCAAAAATGTCTTATATTTAAGAGAAAACTGAGATGTAATAATTTATTGTAAAGTCTTAAAAATGAATAATAAAGTCATAACTTCCTGGCTTAAAGTGCAGATTTTACTTGGTTTAATTATAAGTTTCCCCAAAAAAGTCAGTTTTCTGAGATTAAAGCCACAAGTTTACTCAAAATGTACGAAAAACAAAACTTTCAAAGAGAAAGAAGAACATAATGACATCAGCTGGGCGAAGACTCGACACGCCTACGATAACGGGAAAATTTTACTTTCATTTGCCAATTTAAAACTTTCCAACATAAACTGTTTTTTCACTTAAATAAAGACATTTGGGAATTTCTTTTTCTGCAGATGTTGCGTCAAACTGAAGCTCCTTTGATTATTTTTACTTATCGTCATCTTATAAAGCGGTTTACTTCTGATTCAGCTCACATTTTAAACCAACTTCTCATCATTTACATTAAAGATACGGTGTTAATGTGAAGGTTGCAGCACAGATTTCAGCTCCTGATGTGCAGGAAGTGTTTTCTGTAAAAATGTTGAATAAACTGCGCTGAGCTAAAAAATAAAACTAAGTTCACATTCAGGCTGAAAACCTGGGCAGAAAACAGAAACAAGCTGTGAAGTGATCTGAATTTTAAGGATCAGCTTAAATGAACAAAATGTTTGATTTAGCACACGATATCTGCGTTTACGAGAGTTTACATTTTATCTGTATTTCAGTCTGCTGAGACCAGAACGGTACGACTCTACAGGAGAAAGCTCAGCAGGAAACTGTTGACGTGAGTTTAGTTACTCACAAAGTGGTAAATTTTACAGCTTTTCTTAGTTTAACCGTTGTCCGCCCGACAGAAACGATTTCCTTTCTGCGCTTTGTTTGACGTTTGTTAAACTTTGACCTGCGCAGAGACGCCACAGTTACACATCAACTCTGGGGACAGACGGATGATAAACGATAAAAAATGTTTCCTGAAATCAAAAATCTTTCATCCCTGCCACACGGTCGTAACTGTAGAAAAGTATTTTGTGCATTCTGTGCACGTCCACCCTCAACGCCACAAACCAACAGATGAACGGAGTGCAGACGAACGCTGCAACCAACTCCACATAAAGTGCAAACGGACAAGGTTTTCCCTGTTGTTGCGTCAGACCAGCTGAAGCTCCAGTAAAACCAGCGAGACGGGAGGAGACGGTCCACGGGTCAACATGTCGCCCCCCCCTCCCCCTCGCTGCGTGACTTAGTGGCTCTCGATGACGACTGGCTCGTAGCCGCCGGCAGAAACCCTGAAAGGATCCAAACAAACAGGAACAAGAGTCAGAATCAGGGAAATAAACGGCTCATTTGTGAGTTTATCTTTGCTTAGTTTCACGTTTTTAACCATTACTGTGACGCGTCGTTTAAAACGAGGTTAAAAATAAACAGCTGAACTGTTTAGATTGTGCACAAACAGAGTAAAGAGAAGTAAATGAGGCTAAACTAACTGCTGAAAACACATTTCTGCAAATAAAATGCAGGAAACTAGAGAATCGGTCGTCCAGGAATGAAATCCGTTTCTGAACCCACAGACGAGATGAAGCGGAGCGACGCCAATTCAAAGAGGAGGAAGCGACGCAGGAAGTGATGGAGCGCCGCTCTTCTCACCTGTTCCCCAGCCTGATGCCACTGAGCGCAGTGGTTCCATCTCTGCTGACGAACAGCCGAAGATTACTGTCTGAAATCCACAAACAGCCAAAACAGGAGGTGTTGACACAAAACTGCAGCAGCCACCAGTCCAAACAAAGATTACCACAGTTTTCTCATTCTTCATGTTTAGTTCTAGTTTGAAACTTATGGATAATCATGTTTTCCTCAAGTTTGTAAAAATAAACACAGGATCCTGTCCCTGTCTGACAGCCGAGGCTACTTAAAGCTAAACTGGACCTAAGGCACCTTTAAGAAAGGTTGCATCATCCTCCTGTAACTAAACCCATCGGCCTGGTTGCTTCAGCGCCACACGTGCAACGGTTAAAGCTCTGACGTAATCCCTGTTGCTGTAACGCCTCAGGAGCACGGAGAGACGCAGACAGGACCCGTTTAAACCAGACGTTTGCTCCAAAAGCACCTTCGGTGTTGCTGATGTCCGAAAAGTTTTGACTCTGGACGATTTTCTCCACGATGTCGTCGGCGTCGATGCGAGTGTCGTTTACCCAGGAGGGGTGACTCTCCACAGAGTCCTGCTTCCTCCTGAAAAACAGGCGGCAGAGGACAAAAACCCGTGACGGAGCTGGAGCACAAGAAGCTTCCAGGGATGTTTCTTACTTTTAAAACCCAGCCGGCATGCTTGGTTAAAAAAAACTTGTTTCAAACTTTGTAAAGTTCTTTAATAAATACAGTTTATTATAAATAATGTTGTTTTTGGAACTATTATGGCGTTACCGGAGAGGCCTGCTTGGTGGCAGCACGGGCCGTGGGGGTCGAGGGGGTCTTTCTGGACGTCCAGCGTCCTTGTCGCCCTCCGGGGGAGTGTCGACAGTGAAGCACAGGCCCCCGGAGGTGCTGCTTCCTGTGGAGGTGTTCCTGCGATGGGTGAGGTCCGACAGGCTGGAGGAGCAGGAGTGCTCGGTGCTGTAGCCTGCGGGAGAAATCACCAGAAGGAAATCGTAAAAACAGCAAAATTTTACTTGAAACTGAGTTTCTACAAAAATACAGAGCGCGCTGAATGACTTTGTTGAAATGTGCTAAAGATAAAAGTGAGTAGTTTCAGCTAAAAGAAGTAAAACACAAAGGCTAGCTCAAAGCTAAATGTTGTAAACGTTAGCTCAAGCAAAATATTAGGAAAAACGGCATGCTAAAAAGTTAAGCGTAGTGAAAGACTAGCTAGATGCTAAAAGAAGCAAAAGGCTAAATAAAAGCTATAATATGCAAAGGGCTAGCTATAGGCTAGCTAAGCATAAGGCTAACTAGAAAGTTAAAATGAAGAAAGAAAAGCAGCAAAAGGCTAGCTAGAAGCAACAACAGGTTGGCCAAAGCAGCAAAAAGTTTTCTGAAAGTAACAAAAACTCAATATGATCCCAGGGGTAAAACATTGTAAAGTTAAATATTTTGAAATGTGCAATAAGTACAGAAACCAAAAGTCACAACAGTCATCTCAGACAGCTGATTGAGAAACTATTGGCAAAAAAGTATTGAAAAATAAAAGAGGAAAACACTATTTATATATTATACATTATTATAAAAGAGCACTATTAACAAAACAAGTCATCTAAATGTAGAAAACTGCACATTCACTGAAGATGTTCACAACAAGTCCACGTTCGTTTTTTTAACATCGGCCGGTGAATTTAGCACCTGAGATTTTGCTGTGCTGGCTGGCGTAGCTGGAGTTACGAGAGTGTCCAGACTGGAAGGCTTCTGAGGGACTGGACTGGTTCTGATACGCCTCCGGTTCCTCCAGCAGACCTGCAGGCACCAGAAGGAGCCAACACGAGCGTTACCTCCTGGTGTTTATAACGCGAGTCTAAACATTTCTCAGAGATCAGACGTCAGGCGCGCCGTGTTTATCTTCAGAGACGAGATGCAGAACTGGATGACGGCAGCTTCTTCTGACTCACAGGAGCTGAAATTCATTCATCCACACAAAGTACTGCCACGTTTCCACTCCAACAAACTCATCATAATATCTGCTTTCAGCTCATTTAGCTTTAAACATCCATCCATCCATCCATCCATCCACTTGTTCTAAAGTCAGGTCTCGGGAGCAGCAGCTTGAGCATGCAGGTTCTTTCCTCAGCCACCTCTTCTGGAAGGACTCCAATGGTTCCCAGGCCAGCCCAGAGACAAAGATTCCCCAGCGTGTCCTGGGTCTTCTCCTGAGTTTCCTCCCAGTTCCAGATGCCCAGAACAACTCCCTAGGGAGGCGTCATGGGGCCATCCTTACCAGATGTCTGAAGCACCTCAGCTGGCTCCTCTGGATGTGGAGGAGCAGCGGTTCTACTCAGATTTGCAGCTTTCCGAGACGTCCCTCGTACCTGAGCCGATGATGGAGGTCCGAGGCTTCGGGACTCGGCCCAGAGAAACCCCTCCAGCTGGCCCGGTTCCTTCGGTCGTTCCCTCCCCCTTACAGTCCAGCTGCAGGGTGTGTTCCTGTCCTGGGATGGAGATGGACTTTGCTGTACTTGGAGGGCTGCAGGAGGGGAAATGAAGCGAACACAGTTTATCGGTCTGGAGTGGATTCAAGAAGAAGAAAAGTGCAGATCTGTTTAACTTGGCTCCGTTTTTTATTAGTCGACGGGGAAAAAAAAAGAAGAATTGTTGCAGCAAGGGACCGAGAAGCTCAAAAACAACGTGTTAATAAGAAAAGATATTTCATAATATTTAACACAAAAGCAGGTTTCGAAGTTCTGTGACAAACCGTTGTAGTTTTTGTTCTCTATACAGATTAGGGGTAGCAACACACTAAAAACATGCTATGTTACATAAAAAATATAAATATAATAGTATAATTAAAAGTCTGTGTAGAATTGTGGTGAAGCCAAACCTAAAACAAGATGAGACCTAAAATAATTAAGGTAAAAATAAAACAGTTTTTAAAGTTCAAGACGAAGAACAGGACAGTGTTGAGGTCTTCAAACGCATCAGAACAATAAAATGCTTAAAAATAAATAAATAAATACATAAAAAAGACAAATGAGGAACTATAGAAGAAAAACAAACATCTCATCACTCTGACAAAGTTTGTTCTACGTGTCAAGCTTTAAAGATGAAGACAAACTTGCTCCAAATGAAGCTGACTCAGAAAACAAGACGTTTCTGAACATCACATGTTGGGACAAAACCAGTACATAACTTCAGGTTACTCCCCCATTAGACCCTTAATATATATATTTTTTTATTTACTGTGAAACGTCAACACTTACGTTTTAAAACACGGATCTCCAGAGAGAAGAGTCATTCCGATGATCACCTTAAAGAGACGACACGTAAAACTGTTGTTACCGAAAAGTTCGTTTAATTTAGAAAACCTTTGTTTTACAGCCCAATAAACGAAAAGAGCTCTCATAAACAGGCCTTTAAAGTTGTGAATTAGTTGCATTTCCTTCTGCTCGTTCGTGTTTCTAAGACGAAAAAAGCTCCGTGTTTAATTAAAACAAATCAAGTAAAAGGGTTTGAAAAGTGAAGCTCCACAAACGAATCCAATAAATGAAATAAACACGTTAAATCCAACGAGAACGAAGAGCAAAAGCCCGGGATCAATTCCCTTTAAGCTCACTGGCGTCCGAGCTGCGTGGCATTTTAGAAATGTTAAAAATCTTCCAGAGAAATGAGACGGCCGAGCCCCGGCGGCGTCGTGCCTTCAGAGCAGTTTGTGCTGGCGACCTCTGCGCGGCCTGAACGCCTCCACGAACACACGGAGCTGCAGACAAGTCTGCAACCAACAGAACGACTGGCCATGTTGTGCTCATTGTCAATATCGGTAATAAATAACTCAAGTAGAGCCTAAAGCGGACTGACTTAGCTCATGGTTTATGAAACAAACTCGTGGTTAGGTTGACAAAATATCTCTAACAATCTAATAAAAAGTGACAATTATTAGGGCTAGGTTTTAAAAAGTCGATTGTCCTCGTTTTGGTTTTACGTCAGGTTTTACAGATGAAGTACTTTTGCAAACTTTGTTGACCCATTTTCATGTCGAAACGTTCAGTTCGTTCAGGAAATAAAGGCTATGGCTTTCGATTTTTGTAACTTTTACACTAAACGTTTGTTTTGAGATCTACTTAACGTGCTCTCCATATGCTGCCTTTACCTTCCAGCTAGCCCGTCGCTACTTCCATCTAGTGTTGTACGTCTATAAAGTTGTTGTAGCGTTTTGCTACTTTTGGATTTTAGCTCGTGTCTAGTGTTTAGTTTTAAATTAGTTTAGCAACTTTAGCAATAATTTAGCCAGCTTTATTTTTTACATTTCATATTTTGGCCAAGCGAAGATGTATAAAAAAAGTTTTTCTTTGGTGTGAAATATATTTAAAATATACAACAAATTAAACAACAAACGCCTGATATGACTTTCAGATTAGGGTCATTGTCAGCTCCGTTCTGATTTCAGTTTTTCACCGTTTTCAGACGACAGGAGAACTCTGCTTTTCCTTTTCTTGCAGCTTCTGACTCCATTTGCTGACTGGCAAGTATCAAAGGTCAAAGTGCAACAGTTAATGAGGAAACTGGCGTGACGGATCAAGCTTTAGTTAAGAGTTTGTTTTACTAATGTAGATCTAAACACTTCCTTCCTCGTTCTGGTATAAATTTGCCAGTTGTCCTCTCATTCCTGCGTCCTTGCCTTCAGTATGGAGTTGTCCTGCCGCGTGTTCTTCGTGTCGTATCCTTCCAGCAGGCAGCAACGCACGGTGGAGCCAGAACCAGCAAACTCTGCCATGTTGAGGTCCGTGAAGCCCAGCTGGGGGTGAAAGGGAGTTCGGACAGAGTTAATTCCAGTTTCACTAATGGAGGCCTTCGCTGGCCTTTATTTTAGGCTCGTGTTGGGAACACGGGAGAATCCTGCGACACCCGGCATTTAGCGCACCGAGCAGCTTCACATCGCTCACGTCGAGAGCGTTTCAAGTCGTAGTTTATGACAGGGTGCACAAACCGCACGCTGCTCTTTAAAAACATCAAAACCAGACTATTTTTAAAGCCGAGACCTGTTTTAAGATACGCTTTGGTCGCATTACATGGTGTCAGAAACAGCAGGACGATTGTTCATTTTCTGCTCTGGCTCTTTTAATTGAGGGGTTAGGGATAAAACGACTACTATTATTTTTAGTGTTATTAAGAAAATAGCAAGAAACTCAGCAGTCTTCCAGGTGTATGTAAACTTCAGCAAACTGCTTTGCCAGATTTACCTTTGAAGGCAAATTATTTTCTCTCCTGTGCAAATGTTTTTTACATATTAGCAATAACTTTTATGTCTTTGCGAAGGTTCTAGGGCGTTTTGTGGCCAATTGAGGGGGCGCAGTAACGTGTCGTATTTGAACCCATCTCCACCATCAACTTCTACATCCTTGGTTGGGTCACAAAGGCAACAGGACCAGAAGAGAAACTCGGATGTCCCTCTCCCCAGTAACGCTCTCCAGCTCCTCCTGGGGACCCCAAGGTGTTCCCAGGACAGAGGAGATGCACAATTCCTCCAATAAGTTCTGGGTCTGGCCCAGTGTCTCTTCCCAGTGCGATATCACTGGTAAACCTCCAAAAGGAGGCATCTGAATCAGATGCACCACATCAACCGACTCAATTCGGAGGAACAGCGGCTCTAATCTCAGATGACGGAGCTCCTCAGCTTCTCTCTAGGTTGATCCTGGACGTCCTACGAAGGAAGCTCATTTCAGCTGCATGGATCCAGGATCTGGTTCTTTCGGACATGATCTAAACCTTATGACCACAGGTGAAGGTTGGAACGTAGATGGACCAGCTTTCCCTTTCAACGCAACTCTTTCATCACCACAACAGACCGAAGCAACAACCTCAACACCGAGGACGAGGCCCCGATTCGTCGCTCCATCTCCCGCTCCATCCTACAGTCACTCAGGAACAAGACGCACAAATACCTGAACTCCTCCACCTGAGGAAAGATTCTCTTCCAACCCAGGAGCTCCAATATTTTAAAACAAAAGTTCAGATGTTTAGAAATGAGGTTCTATGGAACGTTACGGACAATTGAGATCTAATTCATTGAGGATGTCCGTTTGTACGAAACCTGTTTGGACAAATAAACTTCAAGTCTGACTGGACTGATGAGATCATTTTTAATTGAAGACCAAAGTGGATTGTTGGCGTCTTAACTCAAAAATGTCAAAACTTTTCATGAAAACACTAAACTTTCACAAATCTATCAACTTTAGATTTGACATTTATTCACCATTATACGTTTTAACAGTTTGCATCAAAGCTATTTTACATCTTTTCTAGACTGAACCCTGAATAAATAATGTCTGTAAATAATAGTTGAAGTTATCATAACAACTTTTTAGTAATGAATGATTTACGTATAAGTTTCCAGTGATAAACACAACGCTAATTGCATTAGCTCTTCTTTGGTGTTTTCAATGTTAGGTTAGCATCTATGCTAATTGTTGATAAGCAGCTTGTGGCATTTTTCAAACATATTATTGTCCACTCTTTATTAGGCGTTAAAAAATATAAATCAGTGTTTATGTAAAATGAGTCAGTCATTTAAATTTCAAGACAAACAAATGGTTGATAATCGTTTTATCTTTGAAATGTAATTGCATCAAATCACGACATGCTGAAATGGTTTTTGTATCTCTGCAGGAATAATAGTGTAATGCTGAACTGACAGCAGTGTAAAGTTAATAATAGTTGTTATTTTTCAGATTAGTGTTTTCAGACGGCAGCAATCCACTTTAGTCTCGACTCTGCTCGGATTAGCCGTTAGCTCACCAGCTTGGTTAGAATTAAACAACTTCCCCAAACTGCGGTTGTTCAAGCTGCTATCTACAGCAGGTAAGATGTGAATTGTTCACAACTTTTCCACAGAATTCTACGTTAAGATCTGAACTGTCCCTTCAGCTGTCAAGAAGCAAACCAAACCGAGGAGGCTTCAGGCACCGTCCTCGCCTCCGAAGTCTAAAAATGCAACCTGATCATTTAGCGTTCAGCAGTTGTTGAGCTTGCAGGGATCATATTTGCTTATTTCAACTTGGAGCTCTTGTTTACAAGAAAACTTTCCTGCTTGGAGATTCACCTTCAATCACACGCGTGCGTTTACTTTTAAGGACCCTGGATTAATTATTCCCCAAGGACATTTTAAAAACAAAGGAGTAGAAGTTGTTTATTTTAGCAGATTTAGATGAGCGTGCCAGCAGACTGCCAAGATCATGTTTACATGTAATGATCACCCTGATAGGTCTTCATTCCAGCCAAGTACAGCCAAATGTAGGTCTCCAGACTTTGAGTTTGAGCAGCTAAAGTCTAACAAAGAGTATCTGCCATTAATCACTGACGAGTTGTTGATACGTTCTCTCTTTTAATCTAAACGTTTTTCACTTTCTGTAAATTATCTTCTGTCAAAAGTCGTAATGATCCAAGAATGTGACACTTGCTGCATTTTTCCAAACCTCTGACCTCCGAAGTGAAGGCTGGGACAGTTTAAATTCCAGAGTTGCCCCAGATAAGACCTCAAACTAAACAACGTTAACCTCCAAAGGTTCTTTATCAGGTGGAAACGGGTCTTTATCGGAGCCGCTGTTGTGATGTTATTTTTAAATCCGCTCCGAGGTGATTCCAACCTACAGATTCTTATTCTTCAGTTCCCCAGGTTTCCCTTTTCTTCTGGGAAGATCCTGTTTTCATAGGTGTGCATTTATGGAAGCCAACTTCTAAGGAGGGAAGCAGAGTAAATTTAACTCAAAGAAGCCCAAGCGGAGAATGGGTAAAAACAGAGGAAGCGGTTCCTGTCCACAGATCAGCTTAAGTTCATGTTCACGAGGGGTTCGACCTTGTAGCTGCATTCACGAGACGTGACTCATCTGTTGGGAGTCATTACGGTCGGAGAGTGGCTGCCAGGATGTTTTCACAGATTCCAGGCAAAAGACAAGCCGGCTTTTAAATTTATGTTCGCATCCAGCTGGAGGCTCGCCTCCCAGTGGGCTGTGAGGAATGGTAATATTTACATCCAATGTTATTCAGGTCCACAGAACCCGACACAAGAACAACCCGTAACCGCTTCTGCACGTTTATAGATGCGAGAGGTGAAGAGGAAGACGTGAGATCTTACCTTCGTATATGCTTTTCCTCCTTTGAGTTCCTGAGGGGAAAACAGGAAGACGGTAATGAGTCCACAGATTCTTTTTTAAATTTCTTAAACAGCAACGGCCTCCGACTACAGGCCTCCAATTTAATGTGAAAATACAGGCAGGGACAACACGCATGACTACCGTCCCGACATAAGTCCGCACCGGGTGTAGACGACTTGTTCAGGTTGAAATATTAGAGGATTCCAGGTTTTTGAAGAGAACTTCAGTTTGTTTTTCCAACCTCCATAAAGAAAATCCCTTAAACTGTATTCCACAAGTAGAAAACGGCCATAATGAACCAACAATTAATGACATTTTTAAAAAGTTTATGTTGTTTTATGCAGCTCGTGCTTGCATCATAAAGCTGATCGAACTGTGTAAACGTTCTTTACTAGGTCTGCAAACAGACATCCATATGTTGCAGCAGCCAGCGGAAGCACTGCAATAAAACATTTAGGAGTATACATAGATTCAAAGTGTATCTTTAGGATGTATTTAAAAGGTGGTGAAAATACATTCAAGTGGGTAAATGTTAGACCTAATAGGAACAATTTAACCACCAAGGTGTCAAAGACGTTCGTGAACTCCACGTTTGTTTTCAACGTACCAATTAATGTTCCACCAGTTGGACACAAACAGGAGAAGCTAGCTAAATTTATGTTTTAATTGGAGAACAGCATTTCCCCTGCCATCATACAAGGAGGGCGCCACGCTCCGTCAACAAAAACGAGTGCCCCGCCGACCAAACTGTCCTCCCCCAGTTGACAAAACTGACGTAGCGCTAAACTAGCAGCGCAATACAGACGGGCTAGCTAAAAAGCTACAGAGGTAGCGCTCCGTCTCCCTCACGCTGAGCCGTTTCCTTCACCCCCCCCACCCCACTGTTGAATAAACTTGGTTTATTCTGATAAAACAATTAAATGTGTTGATGTTTTATCTGTGCCACCTCTTATGGGAGGACTTGAAGGTACTCCCAGACCAGCCAAGAGACATGGTCTCCAACGTGTCCTGGGTCTCCTCCCACCTGTCCAGATCACCCTTACCAGATGTCTGAACCACCCCATCTGGTTCCTCTGGATGTGGAGTCTCTCCCGGATAACTGAACTTTATCTATAAAGGGAGAGTTCAGCTACCCTGCAGAGAAAACCCAGTAAAATAAAAATAAATCTTAAACAAAACTAAGATGTGCTGCAACGAGACGGGGTCTATTAATAAATCCCACTCTTGAAAGGTTTCGCTCAAACTTGGATGTTAGATGTTTATACGTCTGTAATTTATGCTTTATTTGCGTTTTCACCAACATGCCAGGAACGGCAGATAAAAGTTAGACTGGCTAAAACTGACACATGTACACGTTGTGCTTTGCACATTGTTTCTCTGAAATTTGGGACTTTCAGGTTTCTGACAATAATCGTGACGCCATTTTGGGCCGGAGCCATTAGTTTGGTTTTCATATCGCAAATTCTTCCTACATTTTCTCCCACTACCCAAAACCCACCTTCCTCCTTTTAAAAAAATTGGAATATCCCTTTAAGAAGACAAACAATGAGTGAGTACTACCTCTATCATTCTTTGGGGAAACCCAACCCGGCAGCACTTTGTAAGAGTCATACCTTCCGGACCGACACCCTGCAGATGGATGGATCCAGGACTCCGGTGTGGGGGTTAGCGCTCATCTTGGACACGAACGTAAACCTCTTCCTCCAGCGAACGCAGTTTTCTTGAACTTCCTCTCTGCAAGAAAATAATCAAAACAAGAGTGTTTTGTTCACAATTTCCATCCATGTTTTTTTTAACAACTCACTTCTAAACTTACAGACTTTGGCTTAGAGCTAAACAGCTGTTATTGATGAGCTGCCTCTTTTCCTCAGCTCTGATTTTTTTAATGTAAAGTTGTGAAGAAAATACTCCGTTCCACAAATCAAAGGGTCGATGCCTCTGAAATTAATCATCTTTGCTTTAAATCTATTATTTTTAATATTTGCCTGCAGACTTTTTCCACTGCTGCCAGTTGTTTTGGTGACGTGCATCTAGTTTTCTTTAGAGATAATTCTTCTGATGTCCTGATGCACAAATCCAACCTCTTCCTTAGCGGCTCTTTTATCCTCGGGGTGATTTGCGGACAGGAAACATCAGGCTTTGCTCAATTTTCAGCTGTTAAAAACTCTGAAGAACACAGACTTTTTTTTAAAAAAGATGCAGGATTGCCTGAAGGACACACACATGGAAGAGGCACAATGACCAGCTCTGTGTTAGTTTTTACTTGCAGGCAATTTTTAACGCAGGCTTAGCTTCATTTATCTGATTTATTCTCAAGCACTTTTCTTCTTCTTCAACTTAAACTGTCAGTTCAACTTAAATGGTTTAAGGCAACTATAACGGTAACGTAAAAAAGCAGAGTGTAGCTGGACTTTCCACTTTCAGGATTAATGCACAGGTGGAATGTGAAGCTGTAGATTTAATATTAGATATGTGGAACAGCGAGACTCCCTGCAAATTATTTTTCTTGTCTAACAGCTCACATCTGAGGCCAAAGTCAGGGTGGCAATGATCAACTTGAGCAGTCGGATTAAACGTTCTGCTGAAGTACTTCTGGTTTAACTTTTAACTCCTTGGATGTTAAAAGCAGAGGAGAGTCCAATACATGGCAGGTAGGATTAGACGCAAACAGCAGAGGACTTTTAAATATGTCTAAAACTGAAAAAAACAAAGTGTGAGCGTCTCCTCCTCCGAGCTGCTGGTTCTAGCGTGAGGTTTCCAAGGAGCCTGAACAAAGCCATCTGGACTGAGGAATGTGGTTTGGGAACGCTCCACCTTACACGCTGGAGGACCCAAAGTGTGGGGGTCCTGATAAGAGCCTAGAATGTGAGCTCCTCTTCTCAGGACCGCACTCGTTTCTAGAGATCGATGGGTAAATAAGCGTCCTCCAAAACGAGGACGTTTCACTTCCTGTCACTTCAACAGGCCTGTTTACAACCAGAACTTTTTTTTTTTTAATTTTATAGGCGGTTTAATGCTTTTTTTTTTTTTTTTTTTTTGCTTTGTATTTCAATGAGTCAGAGTTTATTTATTGTCGTTCACGAAATTATGTACACAGGGTCCCAGTTACATCCAGCAATAAAATATAAAAGAAAAACATCAACTAAAAATACACTAAGCACCAACAGCATAAAAACATTACGACAAACAGCAGCACGAACATGAGTCTGTGTGAGCAGATGAGCAGCATGAACACAGCAACATGAAACAGATCAGCAGCAACATGAAACAGATCAGCAGCAACATGATGTGATTCTTCACATTGATTATTCTGGTTAGAGATTCATGAGCCTCAGGGTAGAAGCTGTTCCTCAGTCTAGTGGTTCTACACTTAATGCTCCTTAACCTCCTTCCTGATGGGAGCGGGGCAAAACGTGTGTGCTGGGTGAGTGAGGTCCTTCATGATGCAGGTGGCTCTCTTCCTGCATTCATTCAACCTTTATTTAGACAGGTTAATCTCATTGAGCCTCGAGGACTCATTTACAAGAGAGACCCGATTTCAACAAAGAGTGATGACAACAATAGACAATTATAAAAGAGGGATACATTTTTTTTTTTTACAAATTAAAAATGACAACAAAAAAAAAGTAGCAAAAACAGCTAGATTATAAGGTGAATGTAGAAAACTAAAAACAGGAACGTGACTGCATTGGTTGTTGTCAGGAGTCCAACAGATTCTTAAAGCCACTTAAAAGAGGTCAAGGTCGAGAGCTTCAAATGTTTTTGTAAGATATTCCAGGAAACAGGAGCGGAGTAGGAGAAGGCCCTTTTGTCTAGTTCAGTCCTCACTGAGGGAACACTGCAGGTAATGATGTCCTGAGAGCGCACGCTGTAGCTGCACTCACACAGAGACATGTAGGAGGAGATGTATGAAGGCAGCAGACCAAGAAGTAATTTAAAGATGAAAATGTACCAGTGGTGGGAGTGGCATCTAGAGGTGGAGTACAAATATATTTCCCCCCTGAATCAAACGTTAGCTTTAACAATTAGCCAAAAATGGATAACATTCTACTTTTAATAAAAAAGATTTACACAGGTTAGTTTTAGTTGTATATGACCCCTGCTGGCAAAATGTGTCGGAATGAGCATAAAGACATCATTTAGCAATGCAAATGACCAAAATAGCATATAATCATCCTAATATACTTTTTAAATAAAATGTTCTAATTCGTGTGTTTCAAACTCAAGGCCCGGGGGCCAAATGTGGCCCTCGTTGACATCTTATCTGGCCCCCAAGATGATGTGTGAAACGTAAAATACTTTTATCTTTTGAATTTGTTCAGTAATCTTTGATTATGATGTCGAAAGCACAACAGAGAACATCAACTGAGACCAATCAAACTCTTGTTGAGAAACCTGTGACCAAGAAAAGATGTTGGGCATCTGATTTGAGTTTATGTAGATTCTTAAATCGGCCCTTAGTTTGAAAAAGATTTTAATGTTGGCCCCCTTTTGTAAGCAAGTTTGACATCCCTGTTCTAATTGGTACATCTTCTGAAATAATCCCACGTCCTTTAACTTTTATAATTTCCTTTTGAATTAACCATTTCCCTCTGCCGGCTGTTGTACTGGAAAATCCCTTCGTATAACGTTTGCCATCATTGTGAAGTTTGGGGATTGCATTCTTTGAATAAAGGGCTGAAAGTCCTGATGACATCACTCCACAATAAAACTGTTTTCAAACCAGTACTCTCGTAAAAATACAAAACTACCCTACTTCCAAGCCAGGTGATAAAACGCCGACGTTCAACAAACTACGCATCATTTTGAAGCTTTTGAGAATTTAAAAATAATAACTCAGTATTGGAAGCATTCTTATTTATTTTGCCACCACATGTTTTATTTATAATTAAATTTATTGTGACTATAAATGAGAACCAAGTTTTTTAGACTGTAGCAAACAAATCTGAAGTATTTTCCTTTTCGAAACGACCACAACCTTCTGGCATCTTTGGCAGCCGTGTCTTTGAAAGCGTGAGAGATAATTTTAGCTCCAATACAAAAAGAAGTCGTAGGTAAAAATACCCATGCATCCCATAGTGATTATGTTTCCTTCCTCTGCAACGTTCGGCCAAGTTGTATAACACAACTAGGAATACGTTTGGTAAAATGAGCTCGATGAACCGTCTTTAACGTAAAACGTGTTTTAAAGTAAAAACACGAAACGCTCCAGCTCAGCTGTGAGACGAGACTTGAACTGGTGAAGGAACGAACGAGCGGGAAGAAATAAAGAGCTGGAAATCACAGCGCGTCGTGGATAATGAATAACTTGAAGAGGGGGAAGGGCGTCTGAAGAGCAGCTGCTGGTGCGCTGCAAACTGTGTATACTGTTATTTACACCTTTTCTTTGCAAGAGTTAACTGAAACCACTTCATATTTATAAACTGGAATAAATCAAATAATTAAATTATGTTAAAACGCATTTAAACGCACTGTCAGATTGGCTTTCTTTAGATTTTTCCATGTGAACGAGTCTGAAATTAAGGTTGTACTTTGTTAAATTAAGTGAAAACTTATTGCCTAACGGAGCATGAGTGCACGATGCTTTGCTACAAACTAAGGGACTTTGTTTCGTGTCTGGGACTCTGGGATCCTGCTCTCACCTAAACTGATCCTGACCTTCAGGATTGTGTTTCAAGGACAAAGTGTTGGGTTAACTTAAAAACTGTACAGTACCATGCAAACATGTTAAAACCACCATTCATTTTCTTTTTTTATTTGCTCTCAAGAAGCCAAAATTTAAGAATCTTTTAAAGCAGTCTTGATCAACCGTTTTTCACAGAACACCTCAAAACCCAAAACTTGGAACTTCAACTTCTGGCTGCCTCGGTGTGATGTCCGAATGGACCGAGAAGGTGAGGGAGGGTCAAAGCCAACCCACCCCAATGCTCCTTTGTGCCGCAAAGCGAGGTAGTAATAGAGCCAAAACTGTCGACATGTGAAAAGGTAAGCCGGTGTTGCAGCTAAATAACGTGATAACTGCTCTGAACGACCACCCGGACGCTGGATTGAACAACAGATTTATTACAGACTGTTGTCAGACAGAATGTGTGTTAAGTTTCCAGATCTTATTTATAAGAAGAAATAGACTTTATTTTGATTCTGCGGATAACAAACATTTACCCACATAAATGGGCTCTTTAGAAGAAGAAATTAAACAGTGATTTCTCATAAATTAAGCAACACTGAAGACAGGCATGGATGTTGTGATTGTATTCCCATAAAATTGTATTTCAGAGCTTATAGAATAACTTTAAACAGTTTTTTTTTTTACAGTGAAACTTGAAAGAAACTAGGTTTGCTTTTGCTGAAAGTGAAAAAAAAACTAGCTGCATGTTTTTAAAGACGAGACAATCGTACATATTGATTTGCATCAACAAATATTTATTAGAAGTCTTTTATTCCTGTCATGTTCAGATGGACTTGATGTCTAGCTTTAATTAGCACTTGTAAACAATGTAAAAAAAAATAAAGCGTACATCTATTGAAGCACAATGGAAAAACAAAGTGTGCCTGCACAGTCTATCCGGGTGAGGAAGTATCCTCTTTTTGTTCCAGATCTTATAATTGGGTTTTGTTTGGTGGCAGATGTCGTTCAGAGCTATTTTTGCTGCAGAACAGTCAGTGAACTTTGACTCATGGCAACAGGCTTTAAATATTTGAGTTAAAAATGTTCCGACTTTCAAGAATACACA